CATAATTATGAAATAGAGTACATCTTTATTATAAACCTCTGCAAGTTTCAGGCTCTTCTATTGCAGGCATATAAAAATGACTTGCTTCATAAGACATTAACATGCACCATTCAGTTTAAGCAAAAAGTTCTTATAGGCAGTTTTATTTCCACAGTTAAATATAGATAGATTGACATCTATAGATAGATAGATGAAATTTATCTTAATGTCTCATCATTGTCTAAATATAGAGCATATTTACAAAATACTATTACAACCCAGATCTTTTGTATACTTTTCTAGTTTAAGTTGAAAAATAGAGATGCTTTGAAATTTTAATTTAGTTTGGATTCTGGGGAAAAGGTGGTTTGAAGTTATCTTGAATTATTCATCCTATCATTCTTTAAATCATGGTCATTAATTATTAGCATCAACCTGCATCATTTCCTGCTCATTAAATCACTGAAGATAATATAAAAAATAATGTTGCCATCTTGCCTAGAAGTTTGGACTCTGATTAAAAACTAGAGGCTGTGTATGTAATGAGGTTTTGATGAAGTGTTAACGAATTTCCTCATTAGATCCACCAGTTTGTGGAATTAATGATTCTATCAAGGATTTAATCTGTGTAGAATATTCTTTGGTTTTGTAATAAATACATAATCAATAAGAAACTATTATAAAATGTCTAGTTATATAATAAATGTCTTTTTCCCCCCTATTCGTTCGTTTAGCTAGTCACTATAATATGTTTTGAAACTTGTTTATGATTAAAGATTCATGCTATTGATATGAACTGTCCTGAAAACTGAGGTCTTCCAACATGTCTACCCAGTCATTAAATGATAAAACTTTGATGTAATTAGTAATTAATGCAATCATATTTAGCTAAAATTATGATTTTAAGATGACCAACTCGTGTAATTGTATTTTCTAATAAGAGTTACTTTATTAAGATTTATTGATTTTCTTCCGGACTAGAGTGATATATAAATTAAATTGTCTCATATGATGGCCTGGCGTCTGACATATTCAGTTCTGCTCGGAAATTGGAAAAGTCCAATTCTCGCCATAATTCCCAGTACAATGGTTCTGGTGGAGAAATAATGAATGTCATGTCAGAATAAACTGATAGTATTGTCTACAGTTTTCTCCAAAAGATAATTAATATCCATAACACTTGCTGTAGAAATTGCAAATGGATGCACACTTTTTTTTTTATAAACAGTTTATGAAATAAAACATGTTACCATCAAAAAGCTTCTGTATTGCAACTTCAGGAGTCCATTGCCAACTAATACCGTTGAAATGTATTATACAAAGACCTAGCTATGGGTCGATAGCACCAATATTTTTGCCACAAATTTTTTTAATTTCGATAGTTATTTCGTATGTCCAACGAATAATTCCGGTGATTTAAAAAAAACCAACAAAAAAACGGCAAAGATGTGGGCATATAAAAATCAAGCACACACTAGTATCAGACCTGTCATCAAATATATACATAAAAGTTACTCTACTTAGTGTAATCCACAATATATCAGCTTTTAATATAGATTTATTACACAGATACTAATTTATAAGTAGAAATGAATGATTTAATCACACTACCCGTTATGCCTATAGTGTAATGCAAAGCCCTGTATAGGGAAAGTTACGACAACTCATTTACAGGTGCCATTTTGGGTCCCAACTATGACGCCATAAAAACTATGACGTCATTGCGTCATATAGCTTTACTTAACAAAACGTTTTATTTTTTTCTTGGTATAACGTTTTACGGGCTACACTTTATCCTAAAAAAATTGCAAAAGAAACCAATGCAGTTTGGTTCAATGATAATTTGTCAGACAAAATCATACTCAAAATCCGCCAAGGCAAAATGACATGATTAACATAATTCAATTTGGCGTTCTTCAGGAATTATCGAATTTGACAAACATCAATTAAAAAATGTATTTTTCATTTGGTGGCGGGCATTTCTTTCAAAATGACTGCCAAATTTAAAAAAGAAAAAACAATTAAAAAAAAAAAAAAAAATTACCCCCCCCCCTCATTAATTTGGTAATAAAAGGGCAGCGATAATCTCAAAAATTTAATTTCGAAAATTCTTGATGATAGAAATTCAAAATGGCCGGCAAAATGAAATCCAAAATGATGGAATTTTCATTAATCGTCATTTCTTTCCGTTGGGTATGACTTGTAATATGTGGTATATTAATCAGGAAATGACATAGTTGCTCTTAACTGTCCAACCTCGTGGGTTTACTCATGGGTCCTTCGGTTTCCCCTGCTGTTAAAGACCCCTATGCGCAAGCGAATTATGGAAATAAAATTGAACCATATGTTAGGCCCGAAATGACCTAGTTTGTGTCTAGTGGACGTTAAACCCCATTTCTCTCTTTCTCTTGCTCTTAAATGAATACATGTATATTGTTAATGGACTTTAAACATCAAGATGCAATAGACTTAGAGTAGAAAATTTTAGGCACATTGAAATGTTGGCAATAAAGGTCCAATCATAGTTTTTTAGTTATACACTGTTACCCACCCATAGATGTTATAAATCACATAATTCATTCAGCTCGACGCAAGGAAAAACATGAATAGATGCGGTTCATTTAACTTGAATGTAGATATTATATATCTATGTTGCATATATAGGACCGTTCGGTTGAATCATATCATAGAAGTATCTTATTTCATAGTTTTAGGTATTTGTTGACATTAAGGTGTACTAATACTTGTTCTGTTGTTCCATTTAGCCTTTTCTTGTTTCACTTGACTAAACAATAGTTCGGAGATAGTCACTAAAAAAATCATGCCCCCTGTCTATAGTCTTTAAAACATGATGTACCCTGTAGTTCAGATAGAGTCTCTAAACCATGTTTACACTGTAGTTGGGATAAACCATGGTCTTGTAAATAGGAGGTCGATCTTCAAATGAATATGAATTGTACGATATGTTCATCGCAAAATGATAAAGTTTCTCTTAAATGAATATATTGTTAACGTGCTTCAAATGCCTGGATGCAATAGACTTGTAAAAAATTCTAGGTACACAATGTTAACCACCCATAGATGTTTTTATGACAATATACTTTATTCAGCTTGACGTAAAACTTAAAAATATATAGACACAGTTGGTTTAACTTGAATGTAGATATTAATCATCTACGTTGCATGTACATGTATGTACCTTTCGGTTGAATCATATCATAAAAATATATATCTTATTTTTATTCAGTCTTACCTAGGCATTCCTTTAAGCCTTTGAATTTTCTTGTTTCACTTGACTAAACAACACATTTTGTAGGAATGTATGCTTTTAAAGATGAACAAAAAGCCGATAAATGTTGAGATGTGTGGAAAATGCTCGAGGCAATTTGTAACAAATACTGGTTGAGCATCAGAACAACTTCATTTTTTTCATTGGAAATGGGGCGCAAATACCGAAAGGAGTCGGACAAACACATAACTAAGTGTGTCCCCTTCACTGTCTGTCTACCTGTGGAATAACATGCGTTTGTATGTTAAATTTGTGCGGTTTATATATTAGACAAATTAATATTATTATATACACATAGGCGGGGAGTGATAACGTCTTACCCCAAACAAATTGCAAAAGAAACCAGAAAGTTTCGGAGAGTGATATCTCGTATCACATGACACTGATGAAACATATGCCATAAACACATGTCCCGCATAGAGTGGCGCTAGACAGCTTTTATTTAAATTACACTGATTTTAAGTTACACTAATTTTAAATGTTTTATTCATCAGTCAATGTAAAGAAATTTCAATTTTCGAAAAAATTGACGATACAATAAATGACACACACTCCGGAATGGCTCCAGACCATAAAATCATGGAATTTCAGGCGCTTAATTTGCCGGCTAGAAGGCAAAACGTTTTTATCTCCCAAATTATTAATTATATTTTTATTTTTGGCTTTACCCGCCTGCACAAAAAATCTGATTTTTAAAAGCGTATGCAAGTTAAATATATTTTATAGCGCTTGTATCTGGTGTATCTTTCACTTCACTTTCTTATGAATTAGGCTATATTCTTATAACAATAATGTACACTTTTTGCTGTATAATAATAATAATAATAATTGTTTATTCAGATATACCTTTCGTTTAAAAAAATTATGTTTTATCTCCTATAGATTCTTTTTCGCGGAATTCTATGACATATCTATCCACATCCCTGTCGGGGGCAGCCAACTTCGACACAATAATAGGGCATAAAGTAGATAGTGAGTAGGTACAGATACTTGGGACCCAAGATGGCGTCTTTGTACATTTGACGTCATATTTTCATGACGTCATATGTAATTTCTGGCTTCACAGTTGTCGCAACTTTATCTATATACGGTTTTGGTGTAATGAGGTTACAAAAGTCAGCCATCCATTCTTCTATTATGCCAGTCATTCAAATTTATTTACATGTTTAATTGATTTATCAACATTTAAATTAACACACCCTATACTTAATTAATATATATCATATTGAAGATATGAAAATTGATCGATTCATTTATGTATTTTTATACACCAATAATATGTAGTGCCAAGTGCACATATATTGTTGTCACCTGTGTCTGTCGTATATCCACAATTTCTTGTGAACACTCTACAGGTCAGGGTTCTTGACAGATCTTAAGGCAGAATACTATCGAATGTCAGAGTTTCTGAGTAAATAATATCAGAGTTATTTCCCTGATATAGGACAGAGTTCTTGATATGATATTTTTTAAAAGAAAGGAAGAACCCTATTGAATAAAAGAATTGTAGGATTCTAAATTCTGATCACTTTTTGCGGATTGACCTTTCCAGTCCATCCCCAACTTGGTATCATTCCAAGTCATTAAAAAAATGGATAGCTCCACCCTTTTCAGAAAGCCTGCATAGTCAGGTGATGGGGTAAATAATTAGAAGCTTTGCCCTGTGTATTATATAAATATAGTTCACTAGGTGTATTTTAGTATATATTTATGTATGTTTCTCTTATTTCAGATTAGATTATGTAACTGTTGCACCAAAAGAAATTCTAAAATACAAATTGGAATATGTATGTTGTAATGGTTATCCTAATTGTGAAAAAGGTGATTACTTAAGTTTTTTTACTATTTTAATTTTGTAGAAATTTCTTGCTTATTTTTGTTTCCAATGCATACATAATTTAATTATAGCATCATTTACATAAAGTAATATTAAATATTCAGTATAATGTTACAAAAAACTAACATATATTAAGTTATGGCTTTGTGATTTATTTAAAGTAGTTGCAAATGCATTTCTTTTGCCATCGTAGACCAAATATTTCAGTTCCTTTTAGAAAAGATTTTAAAGGACTTAAGTAAATTAGATGATACTAACTACCATATACTCGGGGGAAAAAAAATATTTGATTTATCAAAGTGACTATTTTTTTCATTTGTGTAGCACATGTTTACAATAATTATTAAGTGAAACATTCGTGCTGCTTCTAAAAAAAAACCAATCCTTTTTTTGACATAAACATTTATTGCATATTAGAAAAATAAAATTTAGAATTGATAGATAATTAACTATAAAATAATTGTATGTTGATTTGTTATTTGATGAAAAAATTAAACTTACAATTTATGTAACAATTTAATGAAAAAGTAAAATAAAAAAGATGATTCAATCTCCTAGCAAATTATATAAAGATTTGGATTTAATAATTCAAAGAGAATTTATATTAAATATTTTTTAACAATAGGATTGGAAATAGTTAATTTACAAAGAAAAATTTTTATGCATTGAATTAAAAAGTTTCCAGAATATTTAAGTTGTAGAAAAAGAATACATGTATATAAGTAATACTGATTATAAAACAGTTATTTAGCAGTACCTTAACTGAAATGTTTGATGAAATTATTTAAAATAAAATAAATAATTATAAAAGAAGAAACACAAAACATTAGACAAGTATATTTAATAAAATATGATCTATAGAACATTTATAAAAAAATATAAATTATATGAAGTTTCCAGAAAAAAAAAGAATCTATAAGGTATTATCTATTCATAAATTAGAATTCATAACAAATTAATCGATAAATTAGTATCTGGGTCAATCTGTAGGAAATGTCCAGACAAAATCTAATCTTTTAAACATTAATAGATAAACTATAGAATCTGCAGGACTGTTGGGGAGGGGGGGGGGGGTCTAGTGGTTTAACGCATGCACGTTGGATCAGAAAGTCGGTCATTGAGTCAAGTGGCATGGTTTCGATTCCCCGCTTGAACATGAAAAGGAGTAGGGCCATCTGTCCAGCCTCGTGGGTTTTCTCTGCGTCCTTTTGTTTCCTCCCATGTTGTGAGTCATATGTTAGTCCCGAAATGACCTAGTTGTGTTGAGTGGACATTAAACCCCATTTTTCTCTCTCTCTGTAGGACTGTTATTGATAACATAGAACATTTATAGATAAAAGTGAAGGGTAGGATATGTAAATTATGTTAAACATTATAGAAAATATAGAACTGTGGGACACATATTAATCATATAGAATCTGCAGAGCTTGTCATTTATATACATTAATAAAATAGAATATCAGGGGAATTTATTGATAAAATCAAATTTGATAGTAAAACTTTAAAATAATGTAAGTGCAGATGAAATTAGGTAATGGTAGTAAAATAAGGCAAAAGATGTAGCAAAAATAGTATACCAGTATTGGATCTCTCGGCAACTCTATGAATGGTCTTGAAGAGCGCTTAGAAGGAAACATTGGCTATGATTTTAAATAATAAATTTAGCACAGTGAAGCACAATGATTTTAAATAATAAATTTAGCACAATAATTTTAAATGATAAATTTAGCACATTGATACTATTAGAAAATTTCGCATTTCCAAGAGTATGTGAAGTCAGTATGTTCTGATTAGATATAGGTCTCCATGCCACGGGATTTGATACTTCAGATGAAAAGTTTCTGGCCATTGTGTTAGGCTCTACAGCAGCTGCCATCATCATACTGGTTATAGTGATCACCATTAGTCTTTGTCATAAAAGAAGAGGGCTGCAGTAAGTATATCTTTATAATTTATCTTTAAAGATGCATTTTTAAGAATTAGATAAAGGGCTGGTCGTTCTAGCTATAATTGTTAAAAAATAGATAATAAAAAATGATTATGCTGAAAATTTCAGTAAAATTACTTTATTCTGTGCCAAGTTATGAGTGTAGCACAGATGGTTTATTATCATAGCAATGATACTTGACAATCGAGACTTAAGTCGTAATTATTTATTTTATTGTGCTGTTAATTCTAATCTACTTAAAATCAGAGCGATCTGATGGCCAAGAGAATTGATTATGGGCTTGTTGTGTTAATGAATGTTTAAATAATTTATATAACATTTGAAGCCAGAAAAAAGACATGGAATAGGCAGATTTAGCTCTTACATAATGCATCTTTAATAATTCCCAAAAGGTAATATTTATGAATCCTGCCCCACTCTATACAGAAATGCAGGACCTGTATTTTCTTGATAAGATTTCTCTCTGTTCACTAATATTGTAAGGCACAAATTGAGACATACTGTAAAAGTTTTTGAAAAAAAAAGCTTAATACTGTGTTAAGGACTGTCTTACATTAACAATATTTAAACCATAGAATGTCTTATAATAGAACTCATCATTTGAAATCAATATTTATATGTGTTAACTTTGTTGCAATCTTATTTGTGAAATATTAATTAAGGTACGATATTCTGTAGCTAGCGAAAGATATGTTTCCAAAATTAATGATAACACAAAGCTATGGCACAGACGTTTATAATGTAATACACAATATTTTGAGTATGTTTCTATGATGAGGTTTGGATAAAAGCAAGCAGAATTGTTTCATTCAAACAAATGTATTTCAGATATACCTTGTGATACTTGCTTCCACAGTCGCACACAGATGAAATGCTATGAAATTTTAGGAATATTTTCTTTTGACTATTAATTTTATGACATCCTGTTTCTGCTCCCCAATATGTTTTTGAAAAAACATGAAATTTGAGGAATAGTGAATAGGTCCCCTTTTTCACCCACCATAATGTGGTTCAAATGTTCCAAGGGAAATCCTGTCTGTTACAGTTATAATATACTCAAACCCTTTCCAAAAATGAAAGTTAAATATATGAACTGGAAAAATGACTGTTTTATTAATAATTTGGACATTTCCTAGAATCAATCATTTGATGAAATCTTCAAGAGCAGTATATAAAAACTTTAAAAATTCTGAATTAATTCAGTTTCCAAAATGTCAGAAATGTATAATTTTCTATTTAGAATAGTCTGGCCTATAGCTTATATGTGATCATACGCTAGTTAATTCACCAATTGTACTGTAATTGGAAGAATTAGTCAGAATTATTAACCAATTTGCATTTGCCCTGATTTTACATAAATATTTAACAAAAAACATTTTAACACATAAACTTAAATAATACAATATGGCTATAGATTCTACTTTTGTTTTAATTAATGAAATGTGTTAGAGAGCAACTTGCTAACCTTTGCTCACCACTTGCCATAAGTATGATAGCCATTGATGACCAATGATTTCTCTAGTGTATAATTTGGGTGTGTAGGACAACAACTGTTACTAGTTACTTACAGTCCCTGTTTCCATGTTAGATCTAGTCAGTCATGTGAATAAATACACGGTATTTGATAGGGCCCAGCTACGTAAATATCTAAATGTTAGACGGATGGTAGATCTATAACACACAATGTGCTAGGTGTTGGCACTTATTTAGATTATATGCAGGTTGCTGCAGGTCTGCACACGGCAGACACTCATACAATTTACACAAAACACAAATTTCGGCTTTGACGCGGTTTTTTTCAGTGGGTATCACTAGCATATTCTTTCAGTTAGGTTGTGATGTAATATAAACAGTTTTATTTCCAATGGTAATGTAAAGTTAAATGCTTCAGTATTTAGCTCTCAGCTAACCAAACTTTTTTGTAGTAGTGTTATCTGACTTGAAAGAATTGTTGAATTCTGTAGTTTCTATATTGGCACTGTCCACATGCGCAAGGAATGGTTGGTTGGAATAGAATTTCGCTTTTAATGTCTTTTCTAATTCTCCATAGAATTCTGATGAGTTTGCGATCAAAAGAAGAATGTTCTATGAAATTGAGATACCTCACGACGACTGTCTATCAGAGGACTATTTTAGAAGATCTCAATTCTATCAAAGACTGCTGCACCAAATTCTAGCTTTTAAATGCGAATTGAAAGAATACATAACCCTAAAATAAAGAAAACTGATTGTCAATGAATACTTGTGAAAGAGGTATTATCACTCTCACCAAGGAAAAAAGTTGTAATTAATTTAAAATAAATAATGTGCTTGATTTCTCTAACCTAGCTTGCTATAGGTTGCCTGTAGAGTAAGAGAGGTGGGGTGGGGAGTTTGCGTGGTCTATCACATGCACTTTAGATCATAAGGTCTGTCATTGAGTTAAGTGGCATGTAGTGTCATCTGCCCAACCTCATACGGTTTTCTCTGGTTTCACCTCTCTCCTTCTATTTTGATTTACCTAAATAAAAAAACCTAAGCACTGGTCAACTTAGAGTAAAGTATTTTTCATACGCTTTACTTAAAGGGCCAATCCCGATAATATTTTGGAGAATAAAACTGCTTAATTTTGTATTAAAATCCCTAAAATCCTCTACATTAGGGCCAAGCAACTAACTCAATATACGTGATACGTTTTCAAACAACTTAAACCTGTCAGTCTTCATCTGGAAATGGAGACCGGTGTCCCAAGCTGTATTATGCGGTGTCTAGATAAAACCAGACTTTTATTTTATAAAAATAATGTGTCGGTGAAATTTACCTTTCGTTATCAAGTATAGCACATGGGTCATTCACTGTATAAACCTCAAAAGGAACGGGAATCGATTATCAGGTCACCCATCGAAAAAATTGACCCGAAATCTTAAAAGGGTTACATGCCCGGATAAGCAGTTTTGATGTTCACGTCCAAACAACTCAGTATTTTGAGCTAAAATTTTGAGACGGGGTAAATTCACCATTCCTCTATATTTTGGCGTTTAAATTTCATATGTACTCAGACTTTTATTTTTGAGACGCAGTTAAAATCGGGATAGTCCCTTTAAATTTGTTACAATAGGCTGGTCAAACTAACGTTTGACGTAGAACAAATTGCAAGAAAAGGTTTTTTGATTTCTATTTTCTTATTATGATGTTCTAAGTAAGGAAAAGAAAGTTTACCAAAATCGGAGTCCAAATAAGGACGAAGGGCGTGGCCAAATCCAAGATGGCGGCTGTCGATCAAAAATTGCAAATATCTCTAAAACTATTGGATTTAGACACCATAAATGTATTGTGGACAGATAGGAAGTCAGTATCAGCGAGTCCAAAAATTGTGACGTTATGTTTCTATGACGTCATGACGTCGCTGCGATGTCACAACGGCATATCAGACGTCGCATTTCTTCCAAAATTAGTCCATTTACACCATCTTAACAGCAGAAACGAATGCTGATGCAGGAAAGGGTGCATGCCCATTATGTTGGGTTGATAATGAAGAACAATGTGTTACAATTACGGAGAGGGGGGGTGGGCTAAAAGCATAACTACTGCTGCATTGCCGATAGGCGATACTATCAGAGTAGCTGCAGGAAGACGGATTCATTTCAATTGTTGCAGAAATGAAATAAACTGAGGTTATACATCCTATTGTTCTGCTCCGATTTGGCTCCCTTAGTGTGCTATGAGGAAAAATTTGCTCTGCAATGGCGCAACAACCTACTCATATATCAAATTTCATCCGCCAAGAGGTCTTTTATTGGAGTAGTGCACGAAAAGGTGAATGGGTGAGGCTGATCAATTTTGACATTTGCCCCAAAAATCATCAGAAAAATTTATATTTTGACACCAGTTTCGTAGATGTACCCGAGATGTGTTACAAAACCAACTTTTCCGGTAATATGAACAGCACCCCCTGGTGGTGTCCACAAAAGCATTACTTTATAGTGGCGTTTTGTCGGTCCAGATCAGTGATGGGATTTCAAAAAAATTATTGTCGGACATTTTTTCCCGAAAATAAAGGGGCATAACTCTTATCGTAATTTAAGCAGACGTTTTCAAAACACAATAAAGAATCATGTGTCAACAAAATATATTCAAATTCATATGTAAAAAAAAATAGGTGCACCTCGTTATATTTCATGTTTAAAACCCGTACGGTATTCAAATTTATGTCAATAATATTCCTACAAAATTACATGACATCAATAATATAGAATGGCAGCGTGCCAACTGCTGCCGATCTGTTTCAAACTCCCCCAAAATTACCGTATTTTTCGGGTCATACGTCGGTACATTTTTCAGCAAAGTCCGACATTCGTCTGATACTACGTTTCGATTTATATACGGAAGGTAAAAAAATGACATCCCAAAATTTATTTGGCCGTAAACTGTAGTTAACGACGCTCTAATACAACGAGCGTGTGACACCAACTGCTAAATAATTGCATTCGACTGTAGCATTGGCTATCGTCTAAAACAATTGACTACTTACGTCATTCCAATCGAAATATTCGTCAACATTTCTTAGCGTGTTTATTTATTTATTTAAAGACATAAACCCCATTCAAAATATGATCATAAATCTGACAATATGCCATCAAAATAGAATCTTTTCCTGGATATCAGTCGTATTTGATTCGGCACGTATACACCTCTTAATTTCACGTGTCTCGCGAGATTTGTACTTTCATTTTAATTACTGAACTATAGCGCCATATGTGTGTGTGAAATATCTTTATTTAACTTCGGCTTCCACCGAAAATATATCACAGACAAGTTATCGCATACAATGTATGTTGATTTGAGGTGTTATATACTATCAGGATATGTGACATATATATATGACTAATTTCTACGTGTTATTGTCCGACACAAAGGAGATTAAAACGTGAGACAATGGACAAATCACGGGTTAATCAGATTAAGTTTATAATCACTCTTATTGGATTAATATATCGTCCGACAAA